ATGGCTCATACCCTCCCCACTCCATCTTTGGGAATATAAAATCCAGCTGTTAGTCGTTTGATTTATGTGACTGCTGACCCATTATGCGACTGCCTGTTTGAGAGGGATTTCCTACACAGGGAACTGAACATACACTTGTGATGGACAGATCTTGGGTCATCCTCCTGAAGATCTTGTGGCCAATAATGGCAGTGTGGTGTTACAACCAATGGGGCCTGGATGGGGAAGTAGCTACATGGTTAGGAGTTTGTTAGGCAGGACAAATCAGTTCCTTACAGAAAGGAAGAGATACCAGAAAGGGGCCAGAGGCATTTTACAGGAAGGATAAAACATACAGCCATTCTAGGAAGATTAGAAATAGTCTTATAGAGGAGAGTTATAAGTAAAGTTCTTTATTACATCTGTAATGAGGTTTTGACTGAAACTAAGTACGGTGCCTTTGTTAGTGAAACCGATAAGCTTTATCCCTTATAGAGTGCTTGTTAATAAACTTCCATTGTCCCTCATCTTTAATTCATTCCCAGTTCAAGAAGTAAGTGGTCAAAGGACCCCCCGACATACACACACACAACAGTAAGAGTCATTGTTGCTGAATTATAGTAAATGCTACCAAACACGTTCAATCTATGAATCCATAGCTGTCCTTACAAGGAGTATCTTAAATTTAAATCACCCAGAGCTTTATTGATGGGAGTTTGCCACAACGCTCTTGCAATCAAACACAGACTGCTTGATCCTGGGGGATGCCAGAGCCAAGGCTTCAGAAAAGGAATATGGAGAACAGCCTGAGTGGCTGTTTCTTTTAGAGATCCCCAAAACTTTCATGATCTTCCCACTCCATTTCCCCAAGCTAGTGCAATCACATCAAGGCACACAGCCATGGACACCCAAGTTCAAACTAGCAGGCAGCATAGAGAAATCATCCTTTCTGCTGACACCTGTTATCTTTACCCCTTGTATGAAGGTATGCTAATCAATCATCACATTTCTTGCATCTTGCTTTGACAAGTGTTGAGCTGCATATGGGGGGGGGGTTTGACACAAATCATTTTTGCTGACTCCTGAGTGTGACATTTCCCAGACCTGTCAAGCTTTTCCTCTCCTGGTCGCACTGGATAAAAGGGGAGAGGGCTGTTCCCTGTGTTAGGTCAGCTCCTATAGAACATCTAAGGGAGAGAGCCTTGCTTCTGGCAACAAAGATGGTATTTTGTAAACCTGTCTAGAAGAGAATAATTTTGAACTGTTTTATTTCTTCCTTATGGCTACCTCTTATTTCTCCTGCTTTCTTATATTCATCTTAAATCAACCTTTCAATTTAGATTCCATGGTTGACCAAGCCCTTTGTCTATCCCAAATTCACCACATTATGCCTAGCTGAATGGTTCTAGCTAAAGGAAAAGGTTAAGCATATTCACAGATTGGCCTCCCAACCTCCACCCCGGTGACAGTGACCAGCAGGGCTTGCTAACCGTATGCCTCCTCTTAGGGGGCATAAGCAAATTTGTCACATTTCAGCTTCTCTGTTTCTCAAATTTCCACCCTTAAGTTCATTTCTCCATACAGTGGTACCTTGGGTTAAGAACTTAATTCGTTCTGGAGGTCCGTTCTTAACCTGAAACTGTTCTTAACCTGAGGCACCACTTTAGCTAATGGGGCCTCCTCCTGCTGCTGCTGCTGCTGCTGCCGCGCCACCGCTGCGCAATTTCTGTTCTCATCCTGAAGCAAAGTTCTTAACCCGAGGTACTATTTCTCGGTGAGTGGAGTCTGTAACCTGAAGCATATGTAACCCGAGGTACCACTGTATTTCTACATTAGTCTGCAATGTTGTTGTTGTTTTTACCAAGCAGCATTTTAGTGCAAATTTATCCATATATCTGTATCTATCTGTATCTAATTATGTACACTTTTTTTTTTGCAGAACCATTTCCCCTTTCAAAACATTTTTTGTCTGCTGTTTTCACTAATATATGCATTTTTGTGCACACTTTACCCTAGCATGTGCATTTTTGTATGTGTTACTTGGCTGGAGTACTGCACTGCAAAATTCTGAGAAGTGCAAATTAGGTAGGTTCATCTATAAATTTGAACTTATCACATTTCTCTTCCTCCATCCTCATCTCAGGTAAATTTCACTTCACCAAATTTTAGAAATTCAGCTGATTTCCATCACAGGTAGTTTTTAAAAAGATGAAAATGAAAAATGGACATTCTTGGGATTCTGTAGGGGACCGTGTACCCCAGTTTACAGAGGATAATTCTCTGTTGGAAGGGCTATCCAGTCCAGGTCCACTTTAAAGAACCCTAAGAAGAGAGAGCAGCAGGGGCCCTGAAGCTGCTCATCAACACTGAGTACCTGGACCACAAACTGAGCAGGCACACAGCAAGCCACCTGGTAATGGTCGTCCCCCCACTGTAGTGAGATGCATTGCACTTCTATTTAAATTATAGTAGTTATTTCTAACTCTCCTCTGTGTGTGTGTTAGCATAGCAAATGTTATGCAAATCTGTGCTCTTGGTGTTGTTGTTTTTCAAAGATACATCAGTGGCCACCTTCGGATACAGCGCCATCTACTGGACAGGTTTTAATAGCCAGTTGGAACATGGCCTGGGTAAGACTTATTAGGCATTCGTAGTGATGTTCAACATGCAAGAGATCATAATAGTACTTTTCCTTTGCTCTCTGCAGTGAGATAATATTTTTGTTTGCAGACTGTTGCTGTGTGTTTGCTTAGAGCCCCGAGACTCAGGAGGAGAGCACCAAAGACATCCGTTAAATGCTCAGGCAATTGGATGAAGCTTCTTAGTTAAACACTTGAAATGGAGAGAAGCAAATCCTCCAAAAGAAAGCACTCTCTGTTTGGGGTGGGGGGAAACTCATTGCATTTGAATTCTGCTGAGGAATGTGAACAGCCCAACAAATGTTTCAAAGGAGGAAGCTGGCGTTTGAATCTCAGGACACGTGCATGAAACACCCTCTGTTGTGTCCTGGTCTGATAACCTAAGCAACTCTGAAGCAATGATTTGTGCAGATCCAGATTTGCAAGAGTCTGCCTCAGGGATTGGACATTTCTGTGGGGGGCCTGAAGTAGGCGCTTGGACACTTCAGACTCATCAGGAAAGGGCCCCAACTCCACAGCTGTGCTGGCTGAATAGATACCTAAAGAGTCTTCTTCCTCTGCAGTGGCATTCCAGATGTTGTTTCACCACAGCTCCCATCAGCTTCAGCCAGCATGGCCAATGGTGAGGGATGATGGGAGTTGGAGGCCAGCAACATCTGGAGGGCCACAGGCGTCGTCATCCCTGCTCTATTCCAAGTTGCCAGCTGAGAATGCACACCTGGGGAGGTCATCCAGTGGTACCATGTGTACAGCTTCAAACAAGGCTCCTGCTCCTTTTTTCAATCTTGCTAACTCTCAGTGGGAGGGTGCTACAGCTCCTCAGTTTTAGTACTTAGGTGCTTGGCTGAGTCCTCCTGACTGTTTCTGGAGCAATATCTCCTTTGACTGGGAGCTCTCCCAGGTTCTGATAAAACCAGATTGGTTTTGGTACCTGGAATCTACTACTTGCAACCTGCTGCCAGACTAATCCTTCTCCACTTGGCCCCATGCAATCTTTGCTCAGTGCCTTGTGGGCTCTCTGCCCACTCCAGAATAGGACAGCCATCTTGCTGAGTTTTCTGGCAAAGGAATCCTCGCCTTGCAAGTTCTCCTTGCGGAACTTTACATTTTAGCTAAGGTGCTGCTGTGGTTCAGCAAACTTAATTTCAATTAACTTGGAAGAGGGCTATAGTCTGTTTACAGAATCTTTATCTTAGCCATGCGTCAACTAAGGTTAATTCATTTGGAAAGTACAGCTTGTTTGCAAGACTTTAGCTATAACCTACTTAGCAGGCCAGTTTCACCAAAGGTACCATGATTTTCTTGCAATGGATCTGAATTATTGCAAAGTGATTTCTTCTCATCGAGAAAGCTCTGCTTTTGTTTAGCTTATCCTAATTCCCACTAAGATTTGCTTGGGAAATCTCTGAGATGGTGGAACTGACCTGGACGAAGTCAGGAAATCATGAGTTGCATGTAGCTGGGAGAGGGAGGAGTCTTAGGGCAGATCCACATATTTTAAACACATTCAGTGCACATTTAAAGCACAGTATTTCCCTCCAAAGAACCATGGGAACTACAGTTTATTAGAAGTGCTAGAAATTGTAGCACCTCAAGGAGGAAACTACAATGGGAAGACACCATGTACACTGAATATGCTTTAAATGTGTGGTGTGGATCTGCCTTTAAAATGAAAGCTGCTGTACACAGTGTGGATGAGCTGGCACAACTTCACCAATTTAAGCTTGCTGAAGCATGCCAGTAAAATGGGATGCATATGGATCAGGGCCTCTTCGTGCCTATTTGTTCGATTCAACAGCTTGATATGGATTAAAAGTTGGATTTACATTCTGTTCCATTTGGCACAAGTCATGTAAATGCCAGCAGCATCTGGAACAGGCTGCAATTAGCAAGAAATTATGCACAGGGAGGAGATGTTTCCAAAATCCAGGCAGAGAATGTTTCTGTTTCTCCCGGAATGACAGGGTAGTGTCCGCTCTTTGGGCTGGCAAAAGACTAATGATACTTCCCCCCCAAAAGATGTAGGAATAACTCAGGACAGAAGGCAAACAGGCAGGTTGTCAGTGTGATTCTCCAAGTAATTATAGAAAAATACATCTTGAACTATTAGAAGATAATAATATAATGTCAGTCTAAGATAGACATTCATAAGATTCTGGGCAAGCGTGGATCATTAGGACAATTTACATGATCCTCCTGCTTCAGGTCAGGTCACTGGTTTTTTCTGCGTTGCTGTACTTGATCAAAGGTAGAACAGTGGACAGAGTATTACACTTGGACTTGGGAGATCTGGTTTCAAATTCCCTCCCTTAACTTCAAAGCTCACTACTAAGCCTTTGCCAAGTTACCAGCTCCCAACCTAACATACCTCACTTGATGAAAGGACCGTAGTTCAATGGTAAGAGCATCTGCTTTGCATGTAGCAGGTCCCAGGTTCAATCCCCAACATCTCCAGTTATGGTTGAGGGAAGCCCCTACTTGAAACCCTGAAGAGCTCAGTGTAGACAATACCCACCTCAATCTTTCTGTCTGATATGAATAAATATGGCACTTATAATGAAGTGCATGGTCATTGCTAATTTCCCCTAGGCAAATTAGAGATAATATTGGCAGTAATTGTTTACTGATAATTCCTCAACAGGAAGGGTGCCATATGTCCTCTTTTTCCAGGACACACCGTCTTCTTCATGGGTATGTAAAATGAGAGTTGTCTTAGCGAACTACAGTTAAAAGCAGAAGTTGGCAAATGTGTCCTCTTTTTTTGCTCTTTGAAATATGGCAACCCTAAGTGCAATTATGTCTCTGGCACAAGATTGTCTCCAGTAAAGACCCCGAAATCAACAGTTTGGTGAAGTGTGTAAGATAAGAGGTCATGTGAATGGACATGTAAGCAGATCAGGTATCACCCTGCTTGGGATATTCATCAACCTATTGTGATCCACCCCAGTCCTTCAAGATGGGGCAGGCTATACATTGAACTGCAAACGTAAAATATAACTTTTGTCTGCTCAGAGCAAATGGGATGGGATGGTGGGGAGGGGAGCAATTGCGTGATACTGCAAGTCAGGCCATTTGTTAGGAAGCAAATTGCAACAATTCCGGCGTTTGAGTCATTAACTTGGGAGGCAGCCCACAGCAGGGGGTGCATTTTAAGCAGGCAAACCAAGTCATTTCGGGAGACGTCTTTCTGCAAAGGTTAATATCCTAAATGGACCTTAAATAGCGAATACATAATCAGATGGCATCAAAATGGAAATGCAACCAATGCTGAATTTGTAAGACAAAATTGGATGTGTTTCATGCAGCCACAGAATGCTTGTTGCACTATGGTCGTTTGGAAGGCTAAGAGTAGATTCCAAGGGCTTTCCAGAGGTCTCTCACATCCTGATGCTGATCAAGTCCATGTACCTTAGATTCACCAGTGTTACCGGTGTCCCCAGAACGGTGACAGGGTTTATGCAATGTACCGAACACTAATAAATCTGGTTTGACATGCCAAAATACACCAAAAAGGTGAACTCATTGTCATAACATCATAGTGTTGGAACAGACCCAAAGACCACTTAATCCTACTGCTACTGTACGACAGGGCTAGGCAGACGTCAATTTCCCACCTAAATAAATATAAATCTTTGAGAGAGAGAACAAGCAAGCGACACGCAAATCAAGAAAAGGGAATGATACCAAAATAGCCTGCAGAACTCACAGTTCCAAATGATCCAAGTAAGAGAGATTGGTGGACCAGGACTCTGACTCAGTACAAGTCCTTATGTTCTATGTTCTTTGCTTTCAAAGGGAAGGGCTGTAGCTCAGTGGCAAAGCATCTGCCTTACATCCGGAAGGTGACAGGTTCAATCCCTTGCAGCTCCAGCTAGAGCTGGGAATGCAACCTTTCTGAAATCCTGGAGAACTGATACCAGGCACTGTGAGCAGTACTGGGCAAGATGATTCAGCCTGAGGCAGCTTCCTCTGTTCCTAAAACACTGTTGGAGTAGACGTGGGTTTTAAGCAGATGGGTCTGCCGGATGTCATTTGAACCAGTAGTGTCAAACCAAGCAGCCTAGCAGTAGGTCTTCCGCTCTGAAACACCACCTGGACAGAAGAAGTAGATGCCAGCCTTCTCTCTACTTGACTGCTCCTTGCCTCCTGACTACAACACCTGACAGTGTTACCCACTCACCACTACTACTGCTACTACTACTACTACTACACACATACACACACACACAGAGAGAGAGAGAGAGAGAGAGAGAGAGAAATTTGAGATATGCATTGAGGTTCGTGCAAAATTTTGTTTGAGTTCTGTGCTGTATCAATTTCCTTTGGGGGGAGGAATTATACAATTTTGAGACATCAGAGCCTTTTAGTGCCTTTAAATAAAAGGGCTATTCCCTATGCATTAGCAACAGGCACAGGAGAGCAAGAGAATTAAATGAAAAACCCTAACGTTAAATTAGTCAGGACTAACTTATAATTAATTTAAGATGAATGGGAACCACTGGGTTAAAGATCTTTTCAAATCATTAGCTGGCAAATTACAGTAAAAAAGAAAGAAAGAAGGTAATTATATGGAGAACACGCATCTGGATCTGAAACTGCCATCCCATTTGGCAAAACACCAGCTGCGTATTGATATAGATCTCGTTCTGTACAATGAGAGAGGGCTTGGGAAAGGTGGGAAAGGCAGAATGGAGCTCACGGTTGGGTGGAAGGAATCCCTCAGCATTGCACTGATTCACCAAATCCCTGTTTTTAATGTTTGATTGCATTATTATTATTATTATTATTATTATTATTATTATTCTGTTGGGAGCCGCCAGATGGGCGGGATGTAAATAATAAATTATTACTATTATTACTTCCATCAGGAGAGTGAGAGCTAGATCACTGGGAGAAAAACAGCACTCCTGGTGTTGGTTGTGGGGAGCTAAGGTTGCAACCCGGAGGACTGTGTTGTACTTGTTAAGCTTCCAATGCAGCTGGAGATGAAGCAGCACCCATGTTCTCCTGCTTCTTCCTCTGGTCCTACCGTCTCATCCTGGTGTCCATGCCACAGACCAGGAGTCTCACCTGCTCCAGCCAAAACTGAGTGCAAAATGGCCTTTGGAAATTCCCCACCACATTTAAAGGCAGGGGAATTGGGGGAACCCTTTCACCAATTTGTTGGGGAAACTCTATCAGCTTCACCTCTTACTGCATTGGGGAATTTAAAGGTACACTCCATTCTCTTGGTTGCATTGTAAGGAGAGGATATGCCCATTTCACTCTCTGCAGTTCAAATGCTTATGCTTTTTATCGCTGATTGACTATGATGACAGTTACAGTGCCATCGGCTTGCAGAGCGTTTGGCAGAGCACAAGAGGACAGCCCACCACCCCAAGGAGTTTACAAGCTAACATTTGAAATACCGTATTTTTCAGTGTATAAGACAATGGGTTTTTTTATTTTAAAAATAGGTTTAAAATACAGGCTCATCTTATACAGGGGTAGTGCAGTGAGGGGTTGGGCGATTGGTTGCAGCCACAAGCAGGATAATCTCAGCGGCGAAAGTAAGGGCGATTGGTGGCGGTGTTAAGGGTTGCTGGTGATTGGCTGCCGCTGCAGCAACAGGGCGGTTGTGGTGGCTGGGGGTCTTCTGCGACATGTGCGAATGCCAACAGCGGGTGAGCGATTTCCAGCAACCCCCCGCCCAAAGCTCAACAACTCTGGGCAACCCTCCCCCCAAAAGGCTTAACAACTCTTGGCAATCTCCCCCCATTTTCTTAATTTGCAGTCCCCAAAAGCAGGGGGCGTCCTATACATGGGGGCGTGTTACACAAGGAAAAATATGGTAGGTAAAAGAACAGAAGAAGGGGAGGGAATTTGAGGTGGAGTAAACAAGGAAGCAACAGGCAGGTGTTTCAGACACATGTACTTTAACTTGGTTACAAGGTTGGTTGTTTTAGAGCAGGGATTGGGGAACCTCTGGCTCTCCCAGTGTTGTTGGACTATAACTCCCATCATCCCTGACTATGGGCCATGCCAGCTGGGACTGATGGGAGTTGAGAGTCTAACAATATCTGGAGGGCCACAGGTTCCTCATCCCTGCAGTATGGCATGGTAACTAGGAGACCATGCCAAAGGTTATATCAACCAAATTTCTATCTTGCCTTTTCTCCCCGCCCCCATGATTCCCACACTGGCATCCACCTCTCCACAGTATTATTAAGCATTGAGCCAAGTCTGGTGCACTTTCATTGCAGTATCAGAGTGGATAAAATCAGCACAGAAATTATACACAGCAGAATAGGTCGTAACATAGTCCACAGAGGCCAGGTTCAAATCCAGTAGGATCAGGCCAGTCAAAAATGTCTAATTGGAACAAGCGATTGATTATTCAAAACCAGAGCCAGACCAGACAGAAGTCAAAACTCAGGCACAACACAGCAGTCCAAGGTAGGGTTATCAGACGTCCCCGGTTTCCGGAGACAGCCCCCAGATTTGCAAATCTGTCCCCGGACAAATTCTGTCCCCGGAATGTCCCCAGATTTGCAAATTTGTCCCTGGGAAATGTTGCAGCAGCAGCCTCAGCAGCCTGGAGCCAGCCTGGTAGCACAGCTGGCTCAGGCTGACTTCAGGAGCTGCTTGCTGCTGTGGCACCCACCATTTTTCCTCTCCGGAAGTCCCCATATGATGTGTCTTGTGCGCAACACAACATATGGGGACTTCCAGAGAGGAAAAATGGCGGGCACCACAACAGCGATCAGCTCCTGAAGCCAGCTAGAGCCAACTGCGCTACCAGGCTGGCTCTGGGCTGCTGATTGCCACTGCCACCGCCACTGCCAAAGGGGATCCGGGGACGTCCAGCGGTACAGATCTCCTACCCCCTTCCCCCTTTGTTTTGACTGATCGGGGGAGGCTCGGGAGTTGCGGGCAGGCAGCCGTTGCCCAGTTTTTTTAAAAAAAATGCGCATTTATGTTTTACAGGGTGCGAAAGAAGGGCTTTGCACATTTATACAATATGTATGTGTGCTTGGGCCCAGGGTCTTTTGCCTCACCATCCCCACTACTAACTCCCTGTTGCTACTCAGCTTCAAAAGAAGAAAAAAGTGTCCCCGGATTCATTGAAAAAAATTTGGTAACCATAGTCCAAGGAGATGTGGGCAAAGCAGCAGAGCAAATGATATTGCTGACTAGCCTGATAAGAGCCTTGCCTTCTGCTGACGCTCCCAGATGACCTATTTAGTGAGCCTTCATTCTGATAAGTTTACAAGGAGGTTATATGCCATTGCACTGAGCAAGTGTCATCCCACATTTCCCAGTGCATTTTCTCATCTCTCCTTATAGAAAAAGGTCAGGTCTTTGGGGGGAGTGGGTTTGTTGCACAAGACCTCTTGAACAACTATAATTGCACAACCTGAATTTGTTGGTATGGGACTGAATCCCACTTCCCGCCCCCTCAACATTTGCCACCTGAGGCAGCTGCTTCACTCTGTCTCATAGTATAGCTGGCCCTGCCAGAAAGCTTCTACAAGCCATTTTTGGAAACAGGATACTGGGCTAGATGGAGCTTTGTTTTGATCCAGTAGGGTTCTTTTGCTGTTATGAGAAAGAGGGAAACTTGTCCCACATGGAAGTAAAAATTCATTTTTCTCAGCATCCTGAAATTGCTCCACTGTAACTTCCTTGCCTTGCATTTTAATGAACACACTTCTTCCCCCTGCTGTAAACCTACCCAAGCTCATACAATTTTTTTTTTTTTAATTGTTGGAACTCCCTGGGTTCATATTCTGAATTTAATTGCATTGGGTGTGTTTTTTTTCCTGACGGGAAAAGGAGTCCCCAGAATAACAAAACACTGATTGCACTTTCTGCTTCAAAACTCCTCCACACTGTATTCCCCCACACACAACAAAAAATGTGGGGGCTTGGCTGATCAAGTTGGCCAGCTGGGTGAGTGGAAGGGGTGAGACTTAATTTCTAAAAGTAGAAATAAGAAGTCTCAAGCCAGCAAGAAAAGTATCCTAACTAAGAATGGGCAAATGTGTCCATTTCGTTTTCTCTCGTTCCTTATTTTTCTAGTCGTGGATTCCAGTTTTCCACATTTCACGATATTTTTTTAAAAACGCAGGAAATTGCATTAGTACTAATTTCTCCTAACATATATATTTTTTCAAAACAATTTCCCCTAATATAATGCATCTTTGTGTGCTAGTTCCACTGTTTTATGCACTTGCACATACACTCTAGACCAGCATATGCATTTGTGAACACAACACTTGGCTTGAGAACTGCACTGCAAAATTCAGAGATGAGCAGGGGTTTTTTTAAGATGTCTGCTTTGGTTTGTGTATCATTTCAGAAAGTGTGAATTAGGTAAATTCATCTGTAGCTGCAAACTGAATTGATTTCTCCCCCAACCCTAGTTTTAGCTATCAACCCCTGTAGAGCCAGTGTGGTGTACTGGTTAAGAGTGGTGGACTCATAATCTGGTGAACCGAGTTCGATTCCCCGCTCCTCCACATGCAGCTGCTGGGTGACCTTGGGCCAGTCACACTTCTCTGAAGTCTCTCAGCCTCACTCACCTCACAGAGTGTTGGTTGTGTGGGAGGAAGGGAAAAGGAGATTGTTAGCCGCTTTGAGACTCCTTAGGGTAGTGATAAAGCGGGATATCAAATCCAAACTCTTCTTCTCTTCTTCTTTCAGATTCCAGATACATGTTTACCAACAATGGAAGCATTCTGCACATGTGCAAAGGCACCATGTTTTTATTTATTTTTGAAAACTAAGTTCACCTTACATAAAATCAAAGATATTGGACTGCAAAGGTTGCAACACATAACGCAAGAACAAAGAAAATAGAATTACCAGTAGGGAGTCCCTATTATTGT